AGATCTTAAAACTAAAGTTGCTGATAATGAATTGTATACTGCCAAACTAATGAAGGAGAAAGAGCAACTACAGGAGAGAGTCACATCCTTAGAGGAACGATTCATCAAAGAGACTAGTACCAAAGAAGTGCAATTTGATTACATGATCCCTTCAATGGGTAAGAGTATTATACTGACTGAGTGTATATTGTATACAATTGATAGATAATTTGGAATGTCTGAGTGATGTCCAGGTAGCAGAGAAGAAGCTGTTCTTAATTCAAGGAGACAAACCTCAACTGATGAATTGGGAGAAATATGGTCTAAGGATTGGAGTACAAGAAGGAAGCCTATTGTCCTCTGAGACAATAGAAGCAGCAGTGGTTGCTCTTGTAGGAGGACAGTTCGAGTTTCCTCCTAATACTGTCCTAGTGAGTGCTGTGTATGCAGTATCACTCTCAAAGCCTCTCCTCAAACAACTCAAGTTAGGGATACAGCACTGCGTTGATTTAACAGGACGACCAGATCTTGCACAATACTTAAAGTTTGCTATAGCTCCAGTTGACACACCCAGTCTTCCTTACCAGTTCTCAATAGTTCAGGAAGGAGAGTTTAGCTCTAATAGTGGGTATGGATCCATTCAACGTAATAAGTTCTGTTTGGTTTGTATACTGGGGGAAGACTCAACTAATGGAGACACAGAGGAAGGAGCTGAGGAACAGCAATTGCAGCAAGAGGAGAATGAGGAGGAGGAGGAGGGAGACAAAGAGGGAGGAGAGGGTAGTGATAGTGATGATGATACCAGCAGTACTCCACCAGTGGCTAGTGGAGCATGTAAAGGTTAGTTAGTGAGTCTATTGATGATAATGTAATGTATTCCACTACTGAATAGAATCTACTACTAAAGAGACTAACCTCCCAACCAATACAGTGTCTGTTGCTGGTACTACTACTACACCAAACACTGATCATGTTAACAGTAAGTACATGTACATGTTTACTATTATTATGTTTATTTATTTATTAGAAGTACAATCCACAGGTATAAAGAAGGCTGTGACATATGCTGGTCTGGTTTATTATGAAGAAGATGGTGTAGAGGATTTGGTGACATTCACTGCAGCTAAGAATTTGGAAGCACTCATTCATGTAAGAATGTATTCCTAAGCATACAATGTGTTTATTATTACTTGATAGTTTATTGAGCAGAAACACTCTCAAGCTAGGACTGGACCAGATATTTCATTTTGTTTCAAATTTCCTTATAATTATATTGAATTAAACTTGACTGCACAACAGGATGAACAATTCACTGGATGGATACTTAGACCTCACACTAAACCTACAAGAGTAAAAAATTATTGTTTATAACCCTAAGTCATATTGTGTTATAGTTATATCAAGAGGCCATTGATAAATTTGGTGATAAAGAGCATTCTCATCCTTCATGTTGTCTCATATCAGTTTATGGATCACCTGATGCTGTCCCTTTTCTTAATTACTTCATACCACTGGAAGGTGTGGCTCATCCAGTTTCATTAAACATTCATAGAGCACGAAGAAATTTCACTGCTCCAGTTCCTCCTTTAGCAAGTAATAGATAAATCATTTCAATCATTAATTTATTTAATATTAATCAGATCCTACTACCGCCTCCTCCTCCTCTAATGTAGTACATGAATCAACATCAGTATCATCCACTGGAGGAGCTAGTAAGTGATAATACTGTGTGTATAATACTGACCTTTGACCTCTGTTAGGTTCATCAGCTATTGTTGATGTCAATAAAGTGAAGAAAGTGATCAACAAAGTTCTTTTATCTCATTATGCTGATTTCAATTCTTTACTTCAAAATGCTTTTACTGGTCTTGTTAATCAGTTATACACAGCTAAGCTTATTGGCCATGAAGTTAGCAAAGAACCTTCAATGAAAGAGTGCCTTGGTGAATTTAAGACTGGTCTTAATTTTAAAAGAACGTTATGTGAAGTGGAGGCATACTGTCAAAAGTTCTTAGATGCACTAATAAAAGCAAGTGGCAGTTGTGCTCATGCAGCTGAAGCTTTACATAAGGACTGGATTGAAGCTATTAGAAATGAGCTAGGATTTCATTTTAATATTAATATTGAGTTATAAATTTTATTGTCAGTTGTATTTTTAGAAGTCTATATTTTCTATTGACTTTGTTTTAATGCTGATTTTTGTGCTATTAAATTTTATAAAAATTATCACACTGCATGTTTAAATCTAGCTACGTAATGTTCCACTCTTCTGGTCTATATTGTTCTTTCCTTTCACTCCAACTCTTTCATTTTTCATTGAAACTGTCTTCTTCTCTGAATTTACATATTTCTGTCTATCATTCCTAATATACAAAACAACAAAAAAGGCAACATAAAAACATTAAAATGAAATACAGCAATAAATCATACATATTATGTGTTGCTACATG